GATTTAACTAGAAAATCTTCTTTAATTTAGCTCGAACTTGTGAATTGGAGAGTGAGTAGCAAAAAAATGTCTTTCTTTGTAACCATGGTCGAGCACTTAGATAATTATGATTGTACATGTCTCAGGTGGTCACGAAAACGCCGAAGAGCTCGTCTGACTACTCGCTTCACTCTTATCTTGCCCTTGACTTGTGGTGAGTGTCAAGTGCATGTTAAATGCTTATGTGATTGAAACGTTAATTGTACAAGAGTTATACATGATACGTAAACTCGCCGAGACAAGGGTGTACTTTATCGCTCTCATCCTCTCTCTCTCTTTTAATTACGTGATATTTGTTACATGAATACATATGTTTGAAAATTGTACATGAATATGTTTAACTTGTGAGTTCTGAGTGGATACATGTACCACACCCTATTTAGGTGGGAGGTGCCTCTCATACCATCTCAATGCTATAAGCGGCTCTCTGAGCGATAACATGTACCACACTAATTCGGGTGGGAGGTACCTCTTGTGAGAACCCAAATATTTTCACATTTTCTTAGTATTATTTTATTTCTTTACTTCCATTTTTATATTTTCCTTCAATATATTAATTTCCTATATATTTTTATAAGGGAATATAGTTTTCAAATCATTTCCTTGGTACAAGTTAGTCCACGTTAAATTTGAAGTGCGTATTATGGACGTGGGACCCGCTAGTGCGGTAAATGCGATATATTTTTGGCGACTAGTTAGAGTTTTATGTTAAGTGATAATATTTTACAAGGTGTTAGGAGACAATTACAGTATATTGAGATAGATTAACCATTGGAAGAATTAGATAAGAATTAACTCTTGGAGTGCCACTTGTCACAAACCTATTGGACCTTACCTTTGACCAAGACTTCTCTTGATCTTGATCTTGGAAAATTTGGATAAACTTCTTTCATATGTTTCTTCTCTTGGCCAAATCTTCCAGCTAGAAAAGGAGAAAAGAAAACTTCAATTCCAACTTCAATCCTTGCTTGTATCTTGAGTTCTAGCCACTAACTTCATAAATTACTACATACAAAGTGCTAGTTAAGGAAGATTATGAACTTGAATGGAAGGATTTTTGGAGGACAAGGCCTAAGCTACCATCTTTCATAGGGAGATAAGGTATTTTGCCAAGAACCTCTTCTTTACTTCAATTAATTTCTAATTAGTGGTTGAAAGTTGTAGTTTTGGTAGTTTATGAGCATATTTCATGGTTGGAAGTAGTATTATGGAAATTCCAGATTAGGGTTTCATTTTTTTTCCAATTCTGCCGGTACTGTTACACCTAGCTAGAGGCGATTTGGCCTTAGCACAAAACATGAAAGTTGTATAGAATGATATTTTATAGTAGCCTGCAAAATTTTAGCTCAATCAAAGCAACGTAGCCTGTAAAAAGATCGAAATACCCCTGCTGCCCTGTTTCTATCCGAACATGCTAATCAGCTTCTATAATTGGTTGTTTTGACCAGGAATACTACTGATTTGGTTGTCGATGTCTTCTTAAGACTTATAGCCTTGTATCTTAGCTTTCAAATGGATTTGGAATCACTTGAATTGGAGTTGTATATTTTAAGATATGACTGAATGAATCAGGACTGCCACAGTAAACTTTGAATTGGAAAATCTGGGGTTGTTTTGATAAATTTAACCTAGAAACACTGTAAACTGGACTAAGTGGTCTTCATCAAAGTTGTAGCCCTCTGTCTTAGCTTCTAAATGATATAAATTGCACCCCAATCCGATAAGCGTAGTTTCGGTTGTGTCCGTTACGCAAAACAACGTCAAATCTGTCTTTTATTTTCCAACTCAACCTTCATTTCCGCACATGCTCCTAACTTGATTTTGTACTAGTATGACTTGGAGCCTATGGAATGGCTATTGAAATGAGATGATTCTATATATGACTTTGGGTTTGATTAAGGAAAAGAATGAAGCCATAAATGGCTGGAAAATAGGTAAATACAAAGGGCGTGCTGCCCAAATTTACGCTCGAGAACTAGGTCGATATACTTACGACTTGAGTAAGACTTGAGAGCGAATACCATATGAACCATCTAGGGTATTTACATTTTCTTTGCCATTTTGGCTCAAATAGCGATTTTAAAGTTTTACAAGTGAGTCTAAGTTTTACAAATATTTTACTTAGGTCCTTTGGTTTCAATGTACTATTTTCACTACCCAAAATCATATTTATACTTTGTACTAGTATGTATTCGACTTGTCTTTGAATCACTTAAATCTTTGATGGTTGAAGCATAATGTATTCTTTTGATTCTCTTAGGGTTCATTGGTGATTGACGGTATTATCCGGAAGGATATTTTGGATATTATTTTGCGTAAATAGGTGAGTGTTCCTTGTTTGTTATATCTTCCTTGACTTCATGACTTGTTGTTATTGTTTGATCATGTGTTAAATGTTTCCAATGATTTCCAAAACGAATTTTCTAGGCGAGCGTGTACTTTATCGCGCTCGACCTAATTGAAACGTGAAATTTTCAATGCTTTAATGATTAATACATTAGTTGCGCATGATGTAAGTCTTTTGGCTAAATTGGGCCCTGCCCTTCATTACCGATCGACTCGAGCCAGAAGCGGACTCGGTCGGGCGATATGGTGACCTTGGGTGTGAACATCGGTATACTCGAGTATTACCTTGTAGATTGGTGAAGCCTGGCCAACGTCCAGGAGGGGGTGAATGAAACGAAAGAACGAACGAGGATTTTAATTACAAAATGCATTTTCAAAAGAATGGAGGAATAAGGGGAAATGTCAGGAGAACGAACGAACGAATGAATTTATGGCTCCTTGTGAGCCCGTATCCTTTTAATGTATGTGTTAATATCACTTTCCATGGTAAATGTTTCTTGAATTATTGATGCTCTATGTTTAATGTATTGGATTGATTATTTGATTATGTGTTCGGAACCTCACTGAGTTTTTAGCTCATCCATTTAGTTTTGTTTTCCTTAATGGGGGAAGGCACGCAAGGATGAGAGTTTGTATAGACTAACTTGGTCTAACTCTTTATTTTTGTAATGGTTCTCGCCCTAGTGCTTGGCACGGGCTGGTTGTATGGTGAAGTGAGAATCTTTGTACATTTGATGGTTGTACTTCCTTTTGAGATAGCAATGTATATATAAGTTTCACTTAAGTTTTGGATTGTTGTATGTTATTCCTTTGGTTGTATTGCGGATTTGATTAAGGAACGATTGAGTCCCGGCGAGAGCTGGGCAGGCGGTCCGCCGAACCCTTTGGTTCGCCTTATGGAGAGGTGGGGCTGTCACACCTCTCTTGTCAACTTAGAACCATAAACAATTTTGAACGGATGTATGTACCACACCAATTCGGGTGGGAGGTACCTCTTATACCGTCTCAGTGCTATAATTGATTCTCGGAGCGATAGCATGCACCACACTAATTCGAGTAGGAGGTACCTCTCATGTCGACTAAGAATCATAAACAATTTTAAGTCGATTGGAGCAATGTCTCATTGACCCAGTTCTCTAAGCGATAGCATGTACCATTCTAATTCGGGTGAGAGGTATCTCTCTTGTCGACTTAGAATTATAAACAATTCTAAATCGGTTAGAGCGATGTCTCATGGATCACTTATACTTCTAGGGGGCACCCCAACCCATTGGGCAACCGTGTAACTCCAGCCGGCGAGAGCTCCTGTATCCTTATTAAATGTGTCTATTTTAAATTGTTAGTTGCTTGAATGTTATAGATTTATTTCTCGCATAAGTGCTATTGCTACTTGAATTATATGTTTGCATGTTTTTCTTGGCCTCACTGAGCGTTAGCTCATCCCATTCCATTTGTTATTCCTTAACAGGAGAGTGACTTGAAAGAAGTGATTAGAAGATATTAGTGAAGGCTAGTTTTTTGTATAGTTTGGTATTTTGCAGCTGAACTTTGGAGAGATTGTAAGATTTGGAACTCGATGTAGTTGGCTTGAGATTTATATCCTGGGAGGTACTTGTGTGATGAAATATTGTAGTCATGTTATTATTTTGGCATATTTAGATGTAATTATTGGAATTGGTCTGTTTTCATTTAAGGATTGTAGTGAGTGCCAGCGAGAGTTGGACAGGCGGTCCATGGAACCCTTAGTTTGTCTTAGGGGGAGGTGGAGTTATCACAGTTGGTATCGGAGTTTAGGTTTCAGATCTTTGTAGTGTATCCTAGGTTTAAAAGTTTAGGATGTCGGATTGTGGGATTTGATTGTGTATTAAGTGCAATGTGAATTTAGTGCTTGATGTTTTAGCGAGTAATATTGAAGTGTTACCCTTAGTTCGTCTTAGGGGGAGGTGGGGTTGTCACAGTTGGTATCAGAGTTTAGGTTTCAGATCTTTGTAGTGTATCCTAGGTTTAAAAGTTTAGAATGCTAGATTGTGGGATTTGATTGTGTATTAAGTGCAATGTGAATTTAGTGCTTGATGTTTTAGCGAGTAATATTGAAGTGTTTGTATTTAATTAAAGTGAAGTGCTTGATGTTTTAGTGAATGATGGGGTTTGGTATCGTGGATTCTTCTAGTTATGTCCCCAACTAGCCTTATGATTTTCCTTCTTTTGATCCTGCTTAGGATAGTAGGTGTGGTGCACGCCGTGAGGCCTTTTGTATTTTACCTGCATATACTCCTATATTTTGTGGCACTTAGTTGCCTATGTCCTGTATTTGATACTATTAACTCGTAGTATGCACCTTGACATTTGATATGACTTCTAACTTATGTGAATATCTATGCTTTGATTTAAAATATTCTTGCAATGTGTACATATTTTTCAATTCATGCACTTATATTTTCTCTTTATTATGCGCTTAGAATCTTGTTAAATGGATCGGCGGAGACGTGGTCGGGGGCGTGGGCGTGGGGGTTCGGCAATCCCGCACTTCCGAGAGAGGTGAGGGATCCGCGACTGGACCAAACCAATATCCTAGAAACGAAGTGGGTGACCAAGTAGCTACGGCCATTAACTGCATGACCGATGTTCTGGAGCGCTTAGCTGAGTGCCAAGGACCTGAACCAGTCAACCAACCTAAGAACCAAGTGAAGGGTGGGGATAGAGCCCTTGAGCGATTCTTGAAGTTCGCTCCACCTAGGTTTCATAGAGGGTCTGATCCCGAGGTAGCGGAAAATTGGTTTGAGAGAATGGTTGAGCTTTTTGCTGCTTTAGATTATGCCGAGGAAAGGCAAGTAAATTTTGTAATTTTCCAGTTTGAGGGAACGGCACGCTCATGGTGGAACGTTGTAAGGGCGAAATGGGAAAGAGAACAAACCCCTTGGACTTGGGTAAACTTTGAGAGGGAGTTTAATGTCAAATTTCTCCTGCCAATTATAGAAGAAAAGAGGGAGGACGACTTCATTAAATTGAAACAAGGATTACTAAGTGTGGCCGAGTATGAGGAGCGGTTCATTAAACTTTCCAAATTTGTCCCTGAGCTAGTGATCACAGAGCGCAAAAGGATAAGGAGGTTTATTCAAGGACTAAACATAGATATCCAAGAATCTCTAGCAGCCGCCCAGATCATCACTTTTACGAATGCCTTGGATAAAGTATAGAGAGTAGAGAGTGCTAAGTCTCAATTTAGGGCTTTTCATGCTAGAAAGAGGTGTAATCGAAGCGATACCCTTGAACAGTACGAGAGGTCTTCCCAACCCCTTAAAATGGAAAAAGGGGTTGGAGGAGTGAAGATGCCTAAAAAACTCGGAGAAACTCCATCAAGTGAAACCCTGCCAAAAGGAAATCAAAGTAGGCGAGATCGACAGAAGGGTAATTCTTAAATTGGTCAAGCAGTGACTCCTCACATAACTTGTGGATACTGTGGCAAGATTAACCACACTGAGGTCGAGTGCTGGAGAAAGCAAAGAAAATGTCTGAGATACGGTAGTACCGAGTATAAGTTTTCGAATTGCCCTAAAACTTCCAAGGGAGGAGAAAATTCTCAACAACCTACTAGATCCACTGCAAATCAGTTGAGTGCCAGAAGGAGTGATTAATGCTAATGATTGTAAGAGAAATCTAAATAGTGGAAAGTCTACGAGTAGGGATGGATCTGACTCCACTCGACAAATAGGGATTGTAGTTTACCCTAAGTTAGACTGGCACTTTTAGAGGTTGTAATTTTGTATAGGGGATGACATCCTTTTGTTGTTTTGTATATTGCGACTTAGCATGTTTCACTATGATTTTGTTGTTCCCCTTTTCTTTTGAAATGATTTGATGAAGTTATCCTAACTCGATGTAATTATTACGATCTTTTATAATATGAAAAATTTACTTTACTTTAATTGATTTTACGGCTTATATATATATTTAATTATTGTTTCATACCTTTAGACCTGCAATAAGATCATGAACGGCACCTGAGGATAGTTTTACAAAAATCCCGAGAGAGCACCAACTTTTGTTAAGTTCAATAAGTGTGAGTTTCGAATGAGATAAGTAGGACTTGATGAGAATTGTTACATAAAGAAAGGCCAGTAAAGATTTCTGATCGAAAAGTAAAGGAGTTAACACACAAACAAATCCATCTATTGAAAATTTTATGGAGAAATCATGGAATGGAGGAAGATTTGGGAAGTAGAAGAAGAGATCCAGGAGAAATATCTAGAATTGTTCCTAAATCAAAGTATGAATTTCGAGGACAAAATTCCTTTTACGGGGAGAAGGATGTGAGGATCCGAATTTTTATTTTATTTTACTTACTTTTATTTCATTTTATTGGCTTATTTAATTATTTATTCACCCGTTTATTTTGAATAATTTATTTCAATCATTTTAAATCCATTTACATGGAACGATGTCTCGCTTATATTATTAAAACGTCCCGTTAGTAAATTTAATTTTTCGGAGGCTCGTTTAGTAAGGAATAACAAGTACATTTTTTTCGAGACAATATTCGATCCGAGAGTACAATTATCTTGGAGAATAAAAGATGATCAATAGTAGATTAAGAAAAGTTAATTGAGGGATTAGAGGTGAGTGAGTTCAAATTAAGCTTTTACCGCTCACGCGCCCATAGTTTCTCGATAATCGTGCCAGTACAACTAAGTGAATATTTGAGAAATTAATACTAGACTACTAAGAGTGAATAATTATAGAGTTAAAGGAAGTATCTTGGAGAATCAGTGTATGAGTGTATCAAACCCGAGAAAAAATGGTGGTACGAAACCCGCGCGCAACAACTATTTGAAGTTGACTTTTTGCACCCAACTTAAAGCAACTTTTCCCCCAATCTTCCCTCACAAGCTAACCACTCAAACCCTCATCTTCTTCCTCTCCATTCAGCCGACCAGCCAAGAAAGAAAAGAAAGAAAATCTCCATTTCCTTTAGCTTCCATTTTGTCTACAAATCATCATCCAACTTTCTTGTTTCTTGGAGATTCATCCAAGCTATCATCCAACTTTCTTGTTTCTTAGAGATTCATCCTAGCTTGGAGTAAGAAGCAATCTTGTGGAGTTTCTTGGAGAGTTATTGGTGGGAAAATTCTGGTTTCATTTATGGTTAAAGAGGTAACCTTTCATTTCCTTTAATCTTTCCATTTGTTCAAAGATTAACCATTAATCTTCATGGGTTTACAACCCTAAGCAAGAAAATAAGTTAGAGGACTTGAGGAACCCATTTATTTCGCTTTAAATCATAAGCTAGCGGACTTGATGAGACCTCTAGGTAGCTAACTTGGGGTTTGATTGTTTGGTTGTGGTTTTTTATGTGATATATAGCTTGATTACGGTTAGAAAGTAGAGAGAAATCGAAGGAAAGGTTGGAAAGGAAGCTGGCCGAAAATTCTGTCCATGTTGTCCTGTCTTTATTTTGAAATTTTGATGCTTGGTTGACTATGAAATTGATGGATATATGTTGTATATTGTGTGTGCAAAGTGCCTTTCAAAAATCGTTTCATTTGATTTCATAAAACTTGAGCTTTGGCAAGGATCAAATCTGGAATTCGTATAGCAGGGGTACCCGGACAATGCTCCTTTTTCCGAACATAACGTTTTGTACAAAAGTTAAATTGAGTGGCGTTAGTGGCACTCAAAACTAGACATTCATAGCTTTCCAATGGTATAAAAATCTCCAGCTGGTTCATTTTTAGTGAACCGCAGTGAGTCGGCAAAGTTGGCTGGTCTGTTTTGACTGTTCATATGAGTGAAACTGGAAGCTGCACCTTGTGGCTTGATTTTGTCCTATTTGTGAAAATATTTTCAAAATGATGTTTTCTGATAAATTGTAGCCTTTGGAACCTAGTTTCCAATGCCACCAACCATTCTCAATTTGAGTTTGTATAGAGTTAGATATGGTATGATTTCGAAAGAGCGACAAAGCAGGAAACTGGAAACTTTTCCCTTTCTTGTTGGTCGAGTGGTCAAACCTGTTTTGGGAAGTTATATTTTGAAAATTTTAATGTCATTTAACCATCAAATGCTTATTAAATGTTTCTGGAACCTTGGTTACAAGAAAAGAGTGAATTGGGATTAATTTCATTGGACAAAAACCTTTGGAAAGAAAGGAAGAGTGGGTTGGCAGATTTGCTTTGAAAATTTCGCGAACTTTAGTCATTTTGTTAACTGCCTTCCAACCTGAGTTTTTGCCTATAATTTGATAGAGAAGTAGTCCACACATGGAAGTTTAAGTGTACCAAATTTGGTATAATTTCAATATTATTTTGATACCCAAATAACGCCTCAAATCTGGAAATTCACTGATCAGTGTGCAAAATTCAGTTGACTTTAAACTGTTATTTCTTGATGCTCAAAACTCTGAATTTAGTTCTGTTTGTTGTGTTTGAAACCTTTTTTGGAACTCTTATTGTATTACGAATTTCAAGAGCTGATTCACTTTCTATGAATTTTTTCGAATTTCCAAAGATTGCTAGAAAACCAAGATTGGTTCAAGCCTGTCTTCTTGGAACTGAAACTTTGAGCTGAAAAATGAATGCTTTCCATTTAGAATCTTGGAAAAGTATCTTCTAGGAACTTTTAGTACTTCGAACCTAGTTTCCAACGGTATAAAGTTTTTAATTTTTAAGCTTAAGGAGCTCGAGATACGATTTTTCTAAGTAGTGTCACTTTGAGCTGGGAATTTCCAATTTTCAAACAAATACACTTTTAAAGAACTTCTCACCTTTCTTTACAATTGTTGGACTAATTTAGATGTAATTTCATGGTTGAATACATGGTTCCTTTGGGAATGTAAACTTTCATTTCTAATCTTGGTTTTCGAAGGTTAAACCTCTCTTAATGCGTTTTCTTGGTTGTTCCACTTTCTTGGTTAATGACACCTTATTTTATATTTGAATCTTGGAACCTTAACTTTGATATTTTTCTATGAAATGAGTGGAGTTTTGGATATGTTTGACTCCATTAGTTTGGAAAAAAAATATGAATACTTTTTACCTTCCAAAGTTTGGACATGAGATATAAAGTTTTGGAAAAATGAGAACCATTTACTCCTTTCTCGATTTTTGTGTCGAAAGCGAGTATTGTACTTTCTTTTGGAATTGAGATTTACTTACCACGACTTGAATCAAAAACCACCTTCGATCACTCTTGTGCATTATTTTAACAATTTAGCTAGAAAATCTTCTTTAATTTAGTTCGAACTTGTGAATTGGAGAGTGAGTAGCGAGAAAATGTCTTTTTTTTGTAACCTTGGCCGAGCACCTAGGTAATTATGATTGTACATGTCTTAGGTGGTCACGAAGACACCGAAGAGCTCGTCTAACTACTCGCTTCACTCTTATCTTGCCCTTGACTTGTGGTGAGTGTCAAGTGCACGTTAAATGCTTATATGATTGAAATGTTAATTGTACAAGTGTTATACATGATACGTAAACTCGCCGAGGCGAGGGTGTACTTTATCACCCTCGTCCTCTCTCTCTCTTTTAATTACGTAATATTTGTTATATGAATATATTGTTAGCAGTATGCCCTAGAGCATTAATAATTATTGTCTTGATTAAAATAAAATGGCACTTCTTGATTCAATTATTCTTGGTTTAGATTTGATTGAATGTTGTCCATTATTATTTGTTAAGGTTCCATTCTCATGTGACGAGAATATGAGTGACGGAAAAACTTGGTACAAATAATATTAAATTGTTCCTAATCATAGGATTATTAATTGGGCAAGTTTAATCCGGAAGATTAGTCTCATATTTATTTTCTATGATTAATATGAGATATTAATGATAGTAGAATGGCGAGTCTCATACCATTAAGTATGTGATACTAGAACAAATATGAGAGGCACTTGTATGACAAGTTGGCTTGAACACTGACTAATTTAAATAATGAATCATTAGCTTATTAATGTCAATGATTCATTATTGATTGCAATGGTGCATGTGATCCTTAGACCTGAGATGAGACGGTTGGCTCATTCATGGGTGGTTAAAGTCTATCAATGCAGAAAATACTTGTTCTAATCACGGATGAGTATTGGCATATGGAACCTGTAATTAGTTATGCATGAAGCCAAGTGTTTATGCAAAATAGGATCTATTATTCCATCATGAATGGTTTGATATCTTATGAAATCTATCAATCTTGACTAAAGGAG